AGTACTGCCGTTAACTGGCAAGTGTGAAAGGAGACATCTGCACTGATAATCAGAGCACTGATTATCAGTTCCCTGATTATCAGTGCAGCCCCAAAAGTGCCCATCAGTGCTGCCTATCAATGCCAATCAGTGCCCAGCAGTGCTTCCAGTCTGTGCCCAGCAGTGCTGCCAATCTGTGCCCATCAGTGCCACCAGTCAGTGCCGCCTCTCAGTGCCCTTTAGTGCTGCATATTAGTGCTCATCAGTGCAGCCTATCAGTGCCCATCAGTGCTGTCTATCAGTGCTCATCAGTGCAGCCTTATCAACTCACATCAGTGGAGGAGAAAAATTACCTATTTGCAAAATTTTATAATAGAAAATAAGAAAAAGTAGTTTTTTTCTAATTTCCATACATTTTTGTTTGTTTAGCAAAAAGAAAAAACACCCAGTGGTGATTAAATACCACCAAAAGAAAGCTCTATTTGTGTGAGAAAAATGAGAAAAGTGTCATATGGGTACAATGTTGCATGACCGCGCAATTGTTATTCAAAGTGCAACAGCACTGAAAGTTGGTCTGGGCAGAAAGGGAGTAAAAGTACCCGGCATAAAAGTGGTTAAATAATAATTGCTTACTCCAAGCATTCAGTAGTCAGTAAGAGTCAGGGTAAAGTCAGAACTCCTAAGCCATATGCTTGTTTGGGATTGATGAAAAAGAAAGCATTGAAGCCAGAGGTTTACCATGACAGCCATAGGTAACTGCCAATTGGCTGCAGCAGTTAATCGACAAAAATATCCAGTATCTCCCTTTGACAGTCAGTTGATGGCCACACACTGATCAAAATTTGGTTGGCACCTGCTGAACCTGCCAAATTTTGATCAGTCTATGGCCAGCTTTAAATAATTAAGTGTTCTTGCATGGCAAAACCACTTCCTGTTATCTCACATATATATTCTTATTATTATAGCCAATTTTACCACCCTAACTCCTCCCACAGTTTTTACACTACATAGACAGTAATATACCAGAACGTGTGGATTGTTCCCGATTGGTGTGCTATTACTTTGTGGAACGTTTCGCCGAATGGTTCACGAAATATCGGTGTTTTTGTGGTAAATTGGTCCCATCGGAATGAATGGCGGATGTTCAAAACTAGAGCGGGAGCTGACAAAAGCTAGAGTGTGAGCTGAAAAATCAGGACATGATTTCTAAACTGCCATCACTCCCTCATTTTCAAGCCCACCTACACAAATCTTATATCAAAACGTTCAAATATCCCTGCTGCCACTAAAAATGTCCATTTCTAAGCCATAGTCTTGATAGTTTTCACAATATGACCATTTGTTTGCAACTTATGCCGCCTATTGACATTCATTGAAACTCCACTCTAGCCACCTCAAATTTGAAGGGCAATTTTCTAAACTGCGACTGTGGCTTCATTTTTAATATTTCAGAGACATAATATGCATCAAAATGTAGGTCTGGGTCTTGTGATTCTCACAATATAAAGCTCTTCGGTGTAGGTTTTACAATTTTTAAACTACAGCCGTTTGAATATGGCAACTGCCAGTGAAGTGAGCAAGTTGGAGCAGTTTGTTTTTAACCGCTCTTCTCTGCCCTTGCTGTAGAGTGAGTTGCCATAGGAACCCAGGTGGGTGAGCAGGCAGCAGAGTGACAAAAGCTACTCCACCCAGTTACTTCGCCCACTCCAGTTGTAGACTACTGGTGGAGGCAAGAACACTTCACACAATTTCCCCAGAAATTGTAGCTTTTCTAGTTCATATTGTTATGCCCTGAGAGGTTACAGCAACGTGCTATTCAGACAATATATGAATGTTTTAATGAAAATAAGATACATTTTTGAGTATCTAAAAACACCGTGATTTTATGTTCATTACATTTCCATATGTACAGCTATATGCACCAGAGGTAAATTCACCAGCTGATTGTCAACTCTCTTAACACTGACATTTCTAGAACAACCTAGTACATATTTTCTGAATGCAATCCATTATTTGTTGGTAATTTATACTAAGCCATGCTTTCAATGCTTGCAATTACAGTACATAAACCATAGAAAGTTCATGACATCCATTTTTATTGCAAACATTATGCAGGGCGTGCTGCAAGTGCAATCTATGGGCCTAGGGGCCACAGGCTAAGAATGAGCCTACAGTGCCACTTTAAGAGCTTTGATATTATGGTTTGTCATTTTGTCCAAACCTTTACCATACCTCCCAGTTTTCCAAGATGAGAAAGAGGGATATTATTTGGTGCAAAGTATGTAGGCAAAGAACACACCCCTGCTACTCTCCCAATTATGTGGACCATGAAGAATCAATACACAACAAAATATCTGGAGAAACCAACAAATGATTTTTTTCACCAATTCCCTTCCTTTATACTGGCTTTTCAAAATAACAATTTTGAGGTTGGGTGAAAATGCAGTATGAAACTTTTCAAAAGCAGACTAGCAATGGCAGGCCCATGTATCTCTGCCTACATACCATCACAAGCAATGAAATGGACCATAGTCCACAAAGTATTAAAAACAACAGTGGCCCGAGACTGCTAAAAGGGGGGTGTCCTAAGCATCAGGACCCTTACTTTCTGCCTAACAAAGCGGTAAATAAAGCTGAATTCCAGAATAAATAAATATAGTCTAAATACAAGATGTGTATGTGTATTCTGACTTATACCTATGGACAGGGGGCCACCAGTCCTCCTGTACAGGGTCCAGAACAGCAGGAGGGCCAGGCAGCAAGGTGAATATATTTGGACAGGGAATGTGACCGGCAGCTGAATGCTGGCTTCTACTCCTCTCCCTTCCGCCAGATTTCAGCTGCTGCAGAGCCATACAGGGGATTGGTTCCAATAATGCCCCTTCCTCACCAATCACCCTCACTCTGCACCATACATTTCCCCCCTGTGTTCCCCCTGCAGTGCTCTCAGATCCCCCCCCTCCTTCCTTCTGGCAGCTGCAAGCACACAATAGGATCCTTCAGGATGGATGGTGGAGTCAGGGGCGTATTTACCACAAGGCAAACAAGGCATTTGCCTAGGGCAGCATTTTTCAGGGGGGCACTGCCCCCCGGAAGAAGGGACACACATGGCATGGGAGCCAGGTGGAATCCGAGAGAGGCTGCAGGCTGTGTGACGGTGTATGCAGAGCCCCGACTCTCATAATCAGGGATGTCTGGAGCTGTGCAGATCAGTGTCTTTCTCTCCACTTGGAGGGAAGGGTTCGGTGGCCAGTGTATGGGTGGTGGTAGCAGAAGGCTCTCTCCGGTGGGGAAAGGGGGCAGGGGTGTTGTTGGTGAATGTCAGACTCTCTCTGAGGGGGGAGGGGGGTGTTAATTTATGCGTTGCCTTGGGCAGCACAAAAGCTAAATACACCATTGGGTGGAGGAAGAGTCTGGTAAATGTATAATTTATTCCAGCCCCTCCCTTTCATGAATGAACACAATGAGTGATCGGTACTGATCGCTCATTGTGTTCATTCATAACTAAAGTATAATAAATTGTGTTTATTTGAAAGAGGGGGCTATCAGGTTGACTGTATGGGGCCCTGTGCTTTCTAACAGCAGCAGCCTGCCTATGGAATCTTTTTTGTATTTCTCCTATATCTGTACAGTAATCCAGGATGACTTTTGCACTTTGCCTTTGTGTGGGAAATGACTGTAATAATGACCAGTCACTGCTGCTCTCTCTCCTTGTGCAGGGTGACTAGTCTTGTCTCTGTCCCCTCCTGTAGTATTCTGGAGACAGTCTATAGTGGGAGGACCTGCACTGGCCATGTGCTGCACAGTGATGATATCACTGCTAATTTTACAAGGTAATAACTGAGTTTGAAAATGAATTTGGTACACACAAAGTAGATCTCAAGGAACATTTGTGTGCCTGAAATTAAGTTTTAAAATTGTAGTTTTACTAGAGAACCCATTTAAGATTATTCTGACCAGGTATATTATATGTCTGAAATTCCATTTGGAAGAACTTCTATAGTGTATTTAGCTGTTTGATCCTCACTCAAGCATCCTACACTGAATCAGAGGTGAGATTGAGCTGTTCATGGTCAGCTTGACATGTGGAAACGTCTTTTTTTTTATTTCTTTTATTTCTTAAACCTGCAGCATGCCAGTTATAAGCCGTGTGGCAGTTTATGTTGTATTTTAAGGGGTTTAAAATGATAACAGCTCTGGGTATTTATTATTTCTGGAAAGAGAAGACACTGTTAAATATATGTTGGGAAATTTACTATGAGAACAATAAGTTTAAGTTAAAAGTAAAGTTTAGGTAAAAGTTAATGTGTGGGGGGGGGGGGGGGGGGGGCAGCAACATGTAAATTTTTGTATTTTCCTGAGTTAGCAAATTGGTGTGTACAGTATATACCTTCACTACTATATGAATGCTTTATGTAGTTAGAAATCATACAGAATAAAAATGCATTAACCCCTCGCCTACAGGGCACTTAACCCCGTTCCTGCCCAGGCCAATTTCCAGCTTTCAGCGCTGTCGCATTTTGAGTGACAATTGCACGGTCATGCAACACTGTACCCATATGAAATTTTTATCATTTTTTTGTGACAGATAGAGCTTTATTTTGGTGGTATTTAATCACCTCTGGGATTTTTATTTTTTCTTAAACAAACCAAAAACAACTGAAAATTTTGAAAAAAAAAATAGTTTTTTCTTTGTTTTTGTTATAAAATTTTGTAAATATGTGATTTTTCTCCTTCACTGATGTGCGCTAATGAGGCTGCAGTGATGGGCACTGATAGGCTGCACTGATGGACACTGATGAGGAGGCACTGGTAGGTGGCACTGATGGGTATTGACAGGCATCACTGATGGGCACTGAAAGGCAACACTGATACATGGCACTGATAGGCGGCACTGTTAGGCACACTGACTGGCACTGTTAGGCGGCACTGACTGGCACTGTTAGCAGCACTGACTGGCACTGTTACTGGCACTGACTTAGGCGGCATTGATGTGCACTGATAGGTGGCACTGACTGGCACTGATAGGTGGCACTGATTGGCAGCATTGATAGGTGGCACTGATTGGCATTGCTAGGTGGCACTGACTGGCACTGATGGGTGACAGAAAGGCAGCTCAGATGGGCACTGATATGTGGCATTGATGTGCACTGGTAGGCACTGATATGTGACATTGATGTGGCACTGATGGGCACTGGCACGAGGCACTGGTGAGCACTGACACAAGGCACTGATGGACACTGACAGGTGGTGTGCCAATCCCATGATCGCTGTCACCAATATGTGACGAACGCGGCATCAGACCCCTGACCTTCTCAAAACTCATGACGAAGGACTGGCCAATCTAACACGCGATGTCATGTGCGTAACAATGCCACGCCCCGCTGCACCCTGCACACAGATTTTCCAGCTAATTGGACCACAATCGATGTACCTGCAGCCTGGGAGCGTTTGTTACTGGGTCAGGTTAATTATGCAATTAACCCTTCACACTGCCACCACCTCCTTTTTGTACAGAGAAAGAGGAAACTCGGCGATATCAGCTATAACACAATAATGGTTGAGATAATCATCTGTATAACACGGTCACTGCAGGCCGGTTATACAGAGGGTTAAACAAACACAGTAGCGCTCTTTTTAGAGGCAGGAGGTCGTAAATTGCAATAAAGAGCTATAGAAACAGTTCAACACTTTCAGAAGGAAAGATTTATTACTAAAAGGTCAAAAGGGTGCAATAAAATATTTACAGAAAAATAACTCATATATATATATAAATATACAGAGACAACAGCACAGCAAAGAGATAACAGAGAGAAATTAGAGGGTTAAAGTACTTGCCAAAGTCCTGGGTTAGCAGATCAAGTTTCAGAGCGAAAGGGCACGGGTCTCCCCAGGTGGTTCTGATGTTAAATGGGAGAATTCTTCAACTTCCCTCTCTTAGGCCTGACAGCCTATTTTGTAGTTCCCCAGCAGGGGGTGTTTTTGAAGTCAAGAACCAATGCCCCGTTTAGGGAGGGATCGTCTGTGTGTAGGCCTAAACTAGAGCCAAAATCTCTTCTAGTTCATATTTTGGCTCATAACTTTCCATATGCACAAGTGACATTCCCACTTGCGGGTAGATTATTATGCAGACACATCTGAGGACTGATTAGATATGAAATATGAAATTATACACTGAACGGTTCACGAGATCTACTTTTCTGCTTTCCTATGTATTCCAGCCAAGGAGAGTGACCTATCAAACTGTTAGTCTCCTCATGGCCAATTTGAAGATATGCCTGGTTTTTATGTAAGTCTCTCATATTCCATGATATGAGACATAGGGAAAAATGGATTTTAAAAGTGCTATCTGGGTTGTGCTTCCTTGGAATGTTTTTGAACTCCTGAGAAGGCTTGCGTTAGCTTTTATGAGGTGCTATATTGCACAGCTCTCTTAGACAACCAGGCACCTTGGGCTCCCTGCTGTGCTCCGGCCTGCCTGCGACACTTCCAACACCCACACCAATCAGATGTCACTGTGGCTCTCAGAGAGGGAGGGGGAGAAATGAGGGACAACATGGAGATTTCTTAACAAAATGGAGGACTGCGTCAGTCTCTGGGTGTATGCTTGCGACAGGTGGCACTGCTGGGGCTACACTGATCATTAGGGCACACTGATCATCAGTGCCCTGATGATCTGTGTACATGTCCCCTCCGCGGAAAGCCGGTTACCAGCTCTCCTCTCCTCTCGAGCTGTCAGCGTGACAGCTCGAGAAGAGAGAAATGCCGATAACCGGCATTTCCCTGTTTACATGTGATCAGCTGTGATTGGACACAGCTGATCACATGACCAAGCCGACATCTTTGGCCTTTCCGTGATCGGCGATCCGCTGTGTTCGAGGGACACAGCGCACCACGAATCGCCACGCTGCACGCTCTCTGAGCCGCGCATGCGCGGTGAGAATGGGAGGACCAGAACGAGAGAACCACATTGTGTTCGTCATATTACTATATGGCGGGCGGGAGGTGGTTAAAGGCATGTACACACCACATCCATAGGGCAGCATCAATGCAATGGCAAGCTGAAATGCATTGTTTCCAATGGGCTCAGTTCACACCTACTCATTGTGCTGCTGTGCACTGGGTGGAAATGGAACATGCTAAATGTAATGCGTCATGACATGCCGCAGAATGTGTTTAGAACAGTATTTTGGCTTCTGCTTTGGGGAAAAAATGCACATCAATGCAACACAGTAAAAAAAAACAGATATCAACCAAAAAGAACTCAAATGTATATAAAGAGTGTCATAAATGGTTAAACACAGCGCACAAGGTGTGAATCCGGTCTCACAGTTAAACTTAAAGTGGAGTTCCGGTCCCCATACATTTTTTTTTGTTAAAAAGCTCTCCTGAAATTCTTACACCCTGTACTGTAATATTAGACTACTGCTATGTCTGATATCATGCACGTCAATTATTAAATCTAAAATATCCTACATAGATCTCGGAAGCAGGCAGGTTCCATGAAGGATGTGGGCATCTGAAGCCTGCTAGTGAATACTTCCTGGATTCACTGTTGCTAGCTATCCCAGCATGCACCTTTCGATCTTGTGCCTGCGCAGTAAGGACACTTCGTGCCGCAATTTGTTTACAACAGGTTGCCCTAACAATGGCGGTGATGGTGGAAGTTCCCGCCCCATTGTTATGTCAATGAAAAGATAATCCAGGGAAGGCAAGTGCGGTTGGAAATATTGCGATGCTACAAGCGGGGATGCTCATTGATTTCCGGGATTGATGACTCATCGTTCTCAGGAACCAACGGGTGGGTGGATATGACATACCTCGCTGCGGCGAGGTACAACGGAAGTTCAGTTATTATGGCAACAAAAGGTATGAGAACTTTGCAGCAAAAAAAAAAATAACCTGCCTAACATTGTTGGGCCAAGTGTAATGCAGACATAGGGATACAAATGTAAAAATCAGTGAAGCACCTGGTTATACCTGTTTATCTGCTGGCTTTTCTTCTCTACTTCAATTCAAAGTGCTGAATTTATAAGGCTTGTCTGAGAGTTCAGAAAAAAAGGGAGCGGAGAGCTGAAGTTATACTTTGCAGAGCTCAGTGAGGAGAGCTCTGACAGCTGATTGGAGGGAAGAGACACACCCCTCCACACAGATCACAGAAACAGAGCTGAGTTTGTCAATCTGCTGAAGATCCCTCCCCATCACCATTTTTCTGCTGCTGTCAGGAAAACTTGTCAGAAGTGGATCATGCTAATAGCAGAGGAATAAAGCAGCAGACAGAAATGACATTTACTGCTCTGAATGGAGACAAGTCCATGCTATAAAAGGTATGTGGTTCTTTGTTCATATTTCATGTCTGAGGTTCACAACCACTTTAATATCAATAAAACAATGATCTGAAGACCAGGCCATTCCCCACTAAGAAGGATTTGTGACAAACAGCTCAACTTGTTCCTGTATGAATACCCTTATTCATTCCTACTTACCCCTACATTTCGTTCTAACATATAAAAGAGTGTAATCTCTCCTTGATTTGCTAAATTATCACATCAGTTGGCACTAGGGGGGGGGGGGGGGGGGGGGGGGGGATTTACTAAAACTGGAGCACTCAGAATCTGGTGCAGCTGGGCACGGTGGCCAATCAGCTTCTAACTTCAGCTTGTTCAATTAAGCTTTGACAATAAAATCTAGAAGCTGATTGGTTTCCGCACAGCTGCACCAGATTTTGCATGTTCCAGTTTTAGTAAATCTCCACCTCAGTGAATGATAGCGTGATGTCTACCTGTTACAATTTTCTTTGGCCTGAGATAGTCATCTACTTTGATAATAGGAGAAACCTTCCTTGTATAGTTATTCTTATGGTTTTTTAACCACCTGCCCTCCTGAGGATTTACCCCCCTTCCTGATCAGACCATTTACTGCGATACGGCGCTGCGTTACTTTAACTGACAATTGCTCGGTCATGAAACGCTGCACCCAAATGAAATTTATGTCCTTTTTCCCCCACAAATAGAGCTTTCTTTCCGTGGTATTTGATTACCTGTGCATTTTTATTTTTTTGTGCTATAAGCAAAAAAAGACTGGCAATTTAGAAAAAAAACAATATTTTGACTTTTCGCTATAAAACACATCCAGTAAAAAAATTTTAAAAAATCTAATTTTGTCATAAATTTAGGCCAAAATGTATTCTGCTACGTGTCTTTGCTAAAAAAAAATCCCAATACGTGTAAATTTATTGGTTTACATGAAAATTAGTTTACATCTACAAATGGCGGTATATATACTGGAATTTGTGTTTTTTTTATATACTAGTAATGGCGGCGATCAGCGACTTATAGCGGGACTGTGGGGACTGCGGCAGGCATTCTGACACTGGAGGGGAATTGACTTGCTGCCACTGATCACCAATACAGTGATCAGTGCTAATAAAAAGCACTAACACTGTACTAATGACACTGGACAGGAAGGGGTTAACATCTGGGGCGATCAAATGGTTAACAGTGTGCTGTTTTACAACATGTGCTGTGTGTGCTTTACTAGGGAAACATCAGCATGTTACTGCTGGCAGGAGAGAGACCTGTGGTTTTTTCCCCTATCACTGTTTCTTGGCGATCGGCGGGTGGCAGTGGAGAATCTCTGGCCAGTACCTGGCGATTGATATCTGTAGCCGTCAATGGCTGCGCGGGTAGGGTAGCACGTATGCGCCCCCTACCCGGAACTGCAAAATCACGTATATATACGTGATTTTGCACAGCCCTGCTGCCCTGTGGCAGTATTTCTGCAATAGGGCGGCAGGGAAGCAGTTAATGTGCAGTGCCATTGTATAGCTTAGCTCTGGAAGTTTTAGGTAAAGTATATGTATATCGAAAACTTTTCTTTTTGTTTTAGATTGAGTATGGAAGGGTTAAAACCCTATTCAGTTTCTTTCTTGTTGTCTGTGTTCCATTGGGAAAATTTGTGTCTCAGAGATACAACCAGTGGTGTATTTAGGTTTTGTGCTGCCCTAGGCAACACAAAGATCGTCTCCCCCACGGACATGAACAAACACCAACCCTCTTCCCCCTCCCACGGAGAGAGCTTGATATTGACCAACAACACCCCTGCCCCCCACCTGGGAGAGCCTTTCACTAACCCCAACCCCCCCCCCGCAATAGAGAGACACTCATCTTCACAGTTCGTGACATCCCCAGGAACGAGAGCCAGGCTCTACATACACCATCAAACAGCCCGCAGCCTCTCTCTGATCCCACCTGGCTCCCATGGCGTGCGTGTCCCTTCTTCCATCCCTACTTCTGGGGGAAATTGCTGCTCCCCTGAAAAATGCCGCCCTAGGCAAGTGA